GAAAAACGACGGGAAGAAGGATTGAAACGCTTATGGCCTGAATGTCCAACGAGACTGAATGTCCAACGAGCCTGAATGTCCAATCGGTCACGTGACAGGCGAGACGGAATATACAACGAGACGAAAGATGCAATCGAGACGGAATGTCCATCGAGTCTGAATGTCCAACGAGACGAAAGATCCAACCGAGAAGACATTTCTTTTTTGAACTGTAGGATTACTGATAGTTACGGCGGTGAAAAATGCGTTCGATGAAATGGGGAACCGGACATTTCGGTGCGGAGATATCGGTACGCGATCATTTCGGTATGTGGTCGCTTCGGCACCGGGCTTTTCAGTACCGGGATTTTTGATGCACGGCTGTTTTGGTGTGCCGCTGAGCTTGCCTCACTGACGTTGCCTCTGTGAAGTCCCCAAAATGAAATAGACCGATCTCACCAGCCAGTTTGACTACGCCACCGCTGCCGCAACGCATCGAGGGAACTTTAGTCTTTTTGCGCGTGCGACAACCTCGCTGGAGCTCTGCGCGTGCAGGCCACGAACAGTCTCGTGCACTGCCGATTGCCTCCTGTGAACTAAAGTTATGGCTGCCTCGCGCATGCGTCGAACGCTTGGTGAGATCGGTCTATTAAAATTATGCTCGTATATTTTGTAGACTTCAAAAAATCCCAAACACAATTAATTTATTGTTCGTTATATATATCTATATATTTATCTACATATAAAAACGTTTTCTATAATTTAAAAAAGACGTTTGAAAGGTCACACATGCTACAAGATCAAAGACCGAACTCGTTGACCATTCACAACCTGTCACGCGTTTGATTTTAGAAGGTCGTACTTCTGGAGCGGAAACAAATGTGGGACCCACGAGAGTTCTTAGAATCGTTAATCGTGCTTATCCCCAGCCACAGTTCTTGCGTATTGTACGAGTTGCTGTATTTTTCTTATTCGTGTCCCTAGTCCCGCAAAGATGATGTCCCTCGCATGGGAGAAAAACGCCTGATTGAATTTTTGGTATTATAATTATTATTAGGTGAAGCCGGTGTAGTATGTGTAATTACTCTTAATTGTAGTTTTTGTTTTCTTCTTTTTTACAGAACGAACGTGAAAGTTTTAGAGACTTCTGATTGGACTTCTCAGTCCCCAGAAACAAAAATTCGATCCTCATATCAAAACCAGTGATAGAATACAACGTTCCTTCCATTAAGCCTTTGTACAGCTAATCTCCTCAATTGGTGAGCTATTGTCCGGTGATTGTGCGGAGAATTCGGCATATTGACGCTTATCACGACGATTAGTTTCGCATGCTTCGGCCACCAAAGCGATTGCTGTCGCAGTGAACCATGTATTAAGCAAACAAGTAGGTAATATTAATAATTATTACAATACCTTTTTAGGGTTGGCTTCCGTCATTTCTGCCTTTCCTGGTCACGTGGCATGCAGCAATCGCACCGATACGCGCCCAGGTAGCATACCAAGGCTGCGATCGGGTTTCAACTGGTTCTAACTCTGTCACAGAGCCGCTGCGACAGTGCGACCGTTATTTATTTATATGCGTACATTACAAGTGCACATATGATTACGGCATCAGGAGGTCAGCCCCTCGCTCGGTCTTCCCAAATTCCATAATGCTAGTGTTGCGAGTCAACATACTCACGAAGAACCCGACTTTTATCATTTTGAATAACCCGGTTACGATTCACTATCGGAGCCTTGCCAATTCTGAGAGCTGCATTTGTCATCCTCTCTTTTTTGAAAGGAGGTCTCACTGTTGACTCCCACTGTCACCGGCAATCTACACGCCCAACCCTATTTAACTCTTTTCGACAGTTCGACAAACGGGGACTTTCGCCCCATTCTTCATTCTGCGAATCAGGACGAATTGTCCTTCTTCCAGTTGTCTAGAGACCAATGGAATTTCGACGAAGTGACCGGATTCGTGGTGCAATACGCTTCCCCTACAAGAATAGAAAGCCACGTGGAACGATCTATTGTTATATTCACACATGATGCAGGCTATTAGACCATCCGGGTGTGAACCTTCTGCTGCACGCCGAGATAGATGCGTTCGCTTCCTTTATCAGCAGTCAAGCTCCGACCTACCAAGACGTCATGAACTACCTCGACATAATGGCGAGCTTTGGAGTGCTTCCAGAAGCCAGTTAAATTACATGGGCTTCTAAAAACCACTATGCATGTCACATGCAAAAAAAAAAAAAAAGTTGCGTACTGTGTGATACTAGTATTATCGCTCTACTCACTGACATACAAACCTATTGGTAGGGAATGGATGCGTATGTAAACTACTGACGACTGCAGTGTACAGTGAGTAGTTGTCTCTTCCAAAGATAAACGAACAAAAATAAAAATTTCTCAAATTCACACAATTGTTCCGCATTTACTCAGTAATTGTCGGGTCACACCAACCACCACCCCCATGCATTTACAGCCGCGTTAGGTGTAGATTTTATTTAAAAAACAAGATATCTATATATATTTTTTTTATTAGTGGGAAATTACGCTTGTGGAAACTCTTGATGCCTCGCACCCACAGCTCCCAAAGCATTTTTTTTTTTTAAATTAAATATTGACTCTGCACATAGTCAGTGGCGCTGGCGGGCGGTCATGTGTTTGGAATGCGGATCTCCGTATGTAGCTCATCTATAGATCGAAACGGGCAGGGATGAGGACTGAACTAGAAATTCCTGGGTTCTGAAGCGCGGCTTTTATAGACGTCCCCCAATTGCGATCCACTATACATTGCATCCCTATTATATATTTCAAATTGGCTGACCTATGTCATCGGAATATTCCAAACATTTGAACTGTTAATATCAAAGGAGCGTTAGGCGACGTACAATCGACACCTTTAAACGATTGGTACACTCTCCGGCAATATGAAAGACCCACTGGGAGCGCGTGGCCGAGGCGGTGGCTGGCGGGGGCGCTGCGAGCGCTCCAGGCAATTCCATTCCGCTTCGAGGGGAGGACGCTCACTCGGGCTCAGATAAAGCGAAACGCGCTTATCAGTTTGTGCCGAGTCCCGAGTGAGCGTCCTCCCCTCGAAGCAGAATGGAACTGCCCGGAGCGCTCGCAGCGCCCCCGCCAGCCACCGCCTCGGCCACGCGCTCCCAGTGGGTCTTTCATATCGCCGGAGACTGTACATAGCTGCGCATCGGCACTCAGTTAACTAACCATCAAGCCTTCCTATAGATGAGATTATAATATTTGTGTCTGCTCTGTTTCTTTGTCGGTCCGTCAACGTCGGCTTTTGTGGCACGACATTTTAGTATGATGTAACTACGGCAATGCCTGCAGGAACGCGGACTAAATATACACACAAGTCTGTACATTCAAGAGGGCAAATTATTCTAGCACGTGACAGGCGAGACAGATTGTCCAACGTGCCTGAATGTCCAACGAGACGAAAGATCCAACCGAGACGGAATGTACAACGAGCCTGAATGTCCATCGAGACGAAAGATCCAACCGAGACGGAATGTCCAACGAGCCTGAATGTCCAACGAGACGGAAGGTCCAACCGAGACGGAATGTCCAACGAGCCTGAATGTCCAACGTACCTGAATATCCATTATTTGATCTTTCGTCTCGTTGGACATTCAGGCTCGTTGGACATTCCGTCTCGTAATCGGATTGAAAGAACCACACGCGAGAGAAGCGGCAGCAGTGTGGGAGGCTTAACGTTGTCACCCATCTATTGCTCGTGGTGCGCTCCCTGCGGCGATGACTGGATTTTTTTTTTTCGGTTCCCTTCCCGTCGGAAAGTCTCAGCATTCCTATTTAGATAGTCAGAAGCTCTCACACAACGTAACTTTACCAGAATCGGAGCCCGTACGAGAGAAGAAAATGTCACACCGGACCGCTTCATTCAAAAAGTGTGGGGAGCTGGTCGACTGCAGGTAGTCCCGCGGTTACGGGGATAATCATACATATAAAATTCGTACTTTCAGCCTTTGTAGCGCGCTTTATATTACGTTTATATTATATATATAATAAATTGTACAAGACTGCACTTTTAAAACATATATTAATGTCGGATAAACGCGCACGAACACCACCGCGCCGCTCGACAAGAAATATTTTTTTCATGTTGATGCCATATATTTTCTCACGTAGTTGCACCATGGCCTACCTTCTCCAACATTGTGACGTAACCACTCGGAGGGCTACGGCCTTCTCTTCTAGGAGGTATTTTGGCTGTGTCCAGGTGCACAAACGAGGGTCCGCGCAAGGGGGGAGTCCCTCCTTTCCGCCTTCTTGAACTGTTTGGTACAATGAGTGATTTGTGAGTTGAAGAGCAAAGCTAAGAAGGAAAAAGTTGAAAAATCGTTTAATGACCGCTTTAAGCACTTGAGCGTACTTTCAAAAAGTGGCGCTGCTCCCATGTTTAGTGCGGCGACGTAACGGTTCCTGCTACGTCATTACCTACGTAGCAAGATCCCCAACGTGGCTAGATTACCTTCCAACTAAGTTTCACAGGCATCCACCAGGTGCACATTGAAATATTGTTTAATAGCTCTAAATTTAGTTTTCTTGTGTCTTTCACCGAAAGACTGGTGTTTTTGAGACTACGCTGCAGCTTGCAACACATTTAAACTAAAAAATGAGCGCTGGAATTTCGTTTCCGTACCCCTTTATTGCTTTCGCATTTACATCTCATAAGAAATGGTTAGGTGTCCTCAGAATATTTTCCCGCGATGGTCGCTTTTGCGATGAAAGTTATCGCGCGAGTGCTGCATGTCGCCGGTGTGAACGCGCCTTGAGAGTTCTTTGGTCAATCAACCACACAATAGTGCACTTAAGACGCACTCCAATTCGTTTAGTCAGCTCTAGGGATTCAAGCGGAGCAGAATAAAAGGCTCGCTTGCTGCACAACTTACTGAGTAAGGGGGGTTCAATTGAGCGGTGTGGGCGTAACCCGAGAGTGATGAAGGCACGGCCGTGGGCGCAGGCGAAATTGGGGCCCGCGCCTACAGAGTGGTGTTATTGCTTCGCGCAACCTGACCTTCCAAGAATTGGTGCTGGACCGCAGGAAGTCCCTGGAAATGCTGATGGAGGCCGGCCTGGCCGAGCCCGAGGAGCAGCAGCCCACGTGTTCTAAGGTGTCCAAGAGGAAGAAAAAAAAGCGGCTGCAGGATGGCGACGAACGTGACGGCGTGGCCGCGGAGCCCGAGCCCAAAACAATTTGCGCCAAGTCACGCTCGCGCGACTCTAAGGCCGACCTCAAGAAGAAAGACGCGGACCAGAAAGCGGACGTGGCAGACAAGAAGGCCGAGTCCTTTGTGGAACAGGCCGGCACCAGTACGGCGGTATGTGTGGCACGCGCGCGCGGGCGAGCTCCGGCCATTTATGGGTTGCACGTGAAGTCATGCAAAGAGCGCTCCGATGACCACCAGTAAAGAGGGAGCTTCCCTCTTCTCAGGATCCTCTTTCGTGCCTCCCGGATTTGCTCAGACGTCACTTTTTTCATCCCAGAAGGTTATAAAAGATTAACCCGTCACTCCAAATCTTACAGAAGCAGCTTCCCCCTCCTCCTCTTATATGGTGGTCAAAAGTATGCGATGTGACGTCAGCGCAACCCATGTATTAGGATCGTCTGTAGTTCGCCGAGCGGACGCTAAAAGGGTACTCCGGCGATTTTTTGAGCTACCCAACTGACTATACTTTCTGAATTCCCGGGCGTTACCCTTTCCGGTATGGTATTTAGTATCGCGAAATTCATAATAGTTATTTTGAAACCGGAAAATGATAATTATACGAAAACCAGCATTCAAATATAGGCGCACTTTTCGATGCCGTGACCTCAGTGGAAGGCAGGCTTGTCAGTCGAGCAAACAGTCAAGAAATAGACTATGCCAAGCATATCGTTCCGTGCTGATTCGCGGGTACTGCTGCAAGCTTTTAGAGCACTCATTTGACAGCATCAAACTGCTTGGAATCAGTTGGGAACAACTTCTACAGTCCAAAGTCTAAACCCGGCCTTCCAATGGCGTCACTTTTTCGTTTGTTGCCTCTAAAGACTTTCCGTTTAAAAAAACACGATGAGGACCAAAAATGTAAATTCGATATCTTCGCAAAAAAAAAAATAAAAAAAAATATATATATATATATTTGACCTATTATTTGGGATACTATTTAGTGATGATTGTTAGTGTGTTTTGCAAATTTTCAGGCAAATCGGGTACCATGAGGAAATCGCCGGAGTACCCCTTTAATGTTCGCCTCTCGCTTTTCCAGTTTTCCCGGGTACAAACTGATGAGGAATATGCAATGAGCAGAACCCCGACGGGTCTTTCCATCTCGTCTTTAGACTCTGTAAGTACTCGTGAACTACAGACGATTCAGCGGGTTGTGGGGAGAGCAGCCCTTGCTTCGGCGCCCCGACCGCTTCCCTCACAGCTATCCTTGGGTCGCAGAGCACGCCAAAGAAAGCGGTCACTGACACCTGGATCAACCCCAAGGAAACGGTCGGCTGGAACCTCGACTCCCTTGTGACGCTCAACGTCCTCGGTAGGGGCAGTTTCGGCATCGTCTACCTTGTGCGCCACCGGATTAATCGGCAGCTGGCAGCTCTCAAGTACATCCGCAAAAAGAACCAGAACTCGGAGAAGGTGCGCTGGCGCTGCGTACCGCTCGCCTACCGATAATGCTTCTTCTCCTTAGGAGCGGAGACGCGTGGAAGTCGAGAAGTCTGTCTGGGAGGCCGTCACAAACCACCCGTTCGTGGTCAACTTCAGGGCCTACTTCGAGACCGCCAAAGGGTAAGACGCCAGTGGAAGTAGCGTAGCTAAAGCTTGGAGCAGGTAGTTCCGAGACTCGGCGGCTGGGAGTATCAGAGCTGGCCTCTGCGAGGCGCACTTCTTTCAAATATTAGCAAGGCGCACTTTCTCCGCTCCCAACCATTAATCGACGCGGCTCCTAAATGACGTTAAGATATTGCGTTTGGGACGTTTAACAGAGCAACAAAGCTGGGGGGGGGGGGGGGGGGGGTGTATTGGTTAATGTCTCGTCATTGTTATGATATAGGAGCTTGTTCCCATTATATACGGCTTAGACAATTTTTATAAGTTATTGTATGTCTATGGAACAAATATTAACAGAAACGCGTCTCTATGAAGGGGGTATAGGGAGACATTTAAATTGTTCTCAGCTTATGGCATCCGCCAGATATTCTCCTCACACCGCAATTCCCCTCCCCCTCCCCCCCCCCCCCCCCCACCCCACCCCCTAAAAAAAAAACAGTATATATATTCTCTAGCCATTAGACGCATTTTCGCCCCGTTAGAAAAGAAAATTCAAATCCACCAGATAATGGGGAAAATCCACAAAACAATGGCATAGCTTCTCAGCGACGATTCTACGTCCCGGTACCTGCGCTTTCCTGTGATTGGGGACTTTTAGCACACCGTTACCGTGTTCCGCGTACCGCACTACCGGAGCCGCCACGCGGTCACGGTATCACCCGGGCGCGCGCTTAAAAGCATGATTCAAAGGCTCAGGTAGTGCGGTACGCGGAACACGGTAACGGTTTGCTAAAAGCCTGTATTATCTGGTTGTTAACAGGGGAATCGGTGGCCGAGGGGGTTAGCGACAAAAATATTCTTGTGAGAAACGCCAGTTTCTTAGATACGAGGGCTCACTGCAGTAGCCGCTCACGTACCTTGTATCTCAAGTAGTACACCAGTGAAACACTCGTATACTAGAAAGGTCTTAAGAATTAATTGATAAAAATAGTATGCCGGTAATAATTGCCTTCTTAGAAAAATCCAGAATTTGGGAATAACCTATTATTGTTATTCCCAAACTTTCATTACACTGCAGAACTTGGTTTAGTTCTCATTTAAATTTTATTGACTTTCAATATGAAATCGCCTAAATAGGCAATTTCCCTTTGAAGCGACTACGGCGGAAACTGGCATTTTTTCTGCTAATTATAGGTAGCATGTTTGACTCCTTCTTTCCCTATGCCTTAAGCTACATCAATTCAATGTTTTGGATTACCTCTCGTTATAATTTTTGTCAAATTTAATGAATTTACTGAGTTCAGGATTATTTTTTCTAATATGTCTAGTAAATGTGTTTGAATACGCCTGATAACATCGGAAGGCCCTTTCAAGTTCTTTTGAAGGATTTAAATTGAATATTCCGCTACGTGTATTAAACATATATATATATATATAGGTTTTTTTTAAGATTAACAGGTTTGTTTAAAAAAAGCCGTGAAAGTTACACTTATGCCGCTTGTGGAGGTGAGCTATACGGCCAGGGGGACATAGTATAGGGGGCTAATCGTAACGATCAGTCGGCTAATTAATTAGGATTCTTCAATTAACTTTTTAATGAATGAAAATAGACATATGGTTCCGATTAGAAACTTGCTCAGCGTCATCGAATACCACTATATCAGTAATTTTCACAAAGACTTCTCAAACCCGTGACAGTACTGGCCATCAATAAACATGCCTGATGAGGCGAATATTATTCCAATACTCATTTTAACTTATTTGTCGTGAAGAAACAATTTTCGTTTTCTTGTACAGCCATGCCATCCCAATAACACCGTCATCTTCTGTTTTGGTTTTGGACGCCGCAAGAGAACGAGCTCTAACGACGCTACTGATGTTATCACTCAACGAGCCAAGGGACGCCGCAAGAGAGCGAGCTCCAACGACGCTACCGACGTTATCGCTTAACGAGGCCTAGTGACACCGCAACACCAGCAACGCCGCGAAACCCAGAGACGCCATGGAACGACTATAGCAGAAGCGGACGGCTCTGAGGTCTCAAGTAACGAGACTGATCTCTTACATCGACGCAGCTATCGCAAGCCACTTCGACGAGCGAAGCGTTAACGTATTATTGGTGAGGCTCAGTGAGTTGCGAACGCAGCTGAGCAACGTGAACGCATCAATCGAACCACTGGTACCTGACGGAGGCGTTGAGGAAAACTACGCCCGCACAATTGAATATGACGACAAGATCGTCACGTACATCGCCACCATTGCACAGGAGGTAGAGGAACTCCGACGAGCGAGGCCCCAAGCCGGTACAACGCGGATTCGCAGCGACGGCGACAGACACGTTGCAACCTCCAAGGTGAAGCTGCCGAAACTGGAGCTTCAACGGTTTGGCGGTGAAGCCACCGATTGGCAACCCTTCTGGGAACAGTACAAGCAAGCCATACATGACAACGACCGCAGATGCAAGAACTTCTCAGCGTTAGAAATTTCTAACGCTGAGAAGTTCTTGCATCTGCGGTCGGCGCTTTCGGGAAAGGCAGCATCAGCGATAGCCGGCATTCAACCAACGGGCGGGAGAAAACTACGATACCGTCGTTTGGCTTCTCAGGGAGCGCTTCGGTCGGACTGACGTTCTCATTCAAGAACACCTCTCCCAACTACTTGATTTGCCAGCAGTACGACACTTAAGCGAGGTGAGCGGATTGCGACGTCTCTATGACCATTTGCAACGTAATATGGCCGCTCTCACCGCGCTCGGGGTTAATACCGACACTTAACGAAGCTATGCTCTGCTCTGCGCTAGTGAGAATGCTGCCAGGAGAGTTAGTCATTGACTGCCATAAGTGTCGACGTCCTACGGACAAGGAAAACGACGGTATCAAAATAGAGAGCCTACAACGCTTCCTGAAGCTCGAAGTGGAGAGCCGTGAAGAGGCTCAATAAGTTCATCAGCGAGAAGCCAAGAGTATGAGCCATACCAAGATAACAGAAGGCGGAAAGGGATCAGCCGCTTCTATTTCCTCAACTAGTCGCTCCAAGCAGACTGAACCGTGCGCATTCTGTGCCACGAAGAACCACGCTACACGAGATTGTCAGACATTAATTTCTCTGGAGGAGAAGAAGCAAAGATTTCGAGAAGCAGGACGATGTTTCCGGTGTTCGATCAAGGGACACACCTCCAAAGAATGTCGCAACAAGAGAATCATGTTTGAAACATGCGGGCGAAGGCACATAACTCAAATGTGTGACCCATCCTGGAAGAAAAGTAAGAACACCGCAGCAGAGTTACACTTTCAACTAGTAGGAAGAGCGATAAAACACCTGCTGTACTACTTCAAACACCTCAGGTCTGGGCAGAAGGGAAACAGCAAAGAGCTCTCACGCGTATCCTTTTTGATGGAGGAAGCCAACGTACCTTTGTGATGGAAGAACTTTTACGCAAGCTGCGACTCGAGGTTGTTGGTGAAGAAGACATTACTATCTACCCTTTCGCAGGAGCAGAAAACATCATTAAGGAAAAACGCAGAAGGGTACGAGTCTGGCTATGGAGCCAGTACAGCCAAAAGAAGCACCGCCTAGAAGCTCTGGAGATACCAGAGGTTTGCTCCGATCATCTTCTACCTGAGAGTGTAGTGCAAGGAGTCCAAGTACAGATAGCCGAGCTGGCAGACGTCACCTTGCCACCAGCCCAGTTAACAAGACACGGCATTGACATTCTTATCGGTGCTGTATACTATTGGACTCTTGTCTCTGGTGAAGTCCAAAAAGTGCAAGGCGCTCTAGTCGCCGTCAGAACAGACTTTGGATGGATACTTCAAGGGCCGATTCCCCACAGTGGTTTGACTGCCTCCTGTTCTACTGCGGCAGTTCTGAAAGCCAATGTGGGTGGAAGCACATGATCATCGCCTACCGAGCTCCGGTCACTTTGGAAGCTGGAAAGCACGGGCATCGCCGAACCTAACCTACCACAAAAGGAAGAGGAGAATGAAGTTGTCAGAGCGTTTACATCATCCATCAAGCTGACTACCGGACGGTACAAGGTGGCCTTACCTTGGAAGCCAATGAGCATTCAGCTGGCAGACAATGAAAGAGTTGCAAGGAAGCGTCTGGTGAGCCTCACAAAGAAGTTGCTTAAGGACGATGTGATGCTGACTGAGTATGATAAGACAATTCGCCAGTATCTCCAGCAAGGATTTGCAGAAAAGATTTCACCGAGTGCAGACAACGCAGAGAATCGAGTGTACTACATGCCTCACCGTGCTGTGTTACGACCTGACAGCCTCTCAACCAAGGTCAGAGTCGTGTTTGATGTGTCATCAAGAGAACCAGGGTGTCTGTCTCTGAATGACGCACTATAGAGCCAGGACCAAACCTGAATCCAGACCTCTTGAAAGTGCTACTGAACTTTCAGATTCATCGTATCGGCCTCAGTGCAGACATTGAGAAGGCATTTCTACAGATATTACTGAGACTGGAAGATCGTGACGCTCTACGATTTTTCTGGTACGAACGAATGCCAACGAAGCAAGAGCCGAACCCTCCTGTTGAAGTTTGGAGGATGACAAGGGTTCCTTCTGGAGCGACCAGTAGCCCGTTCCTTCTCGCAGCCACGCTACGTCACAACTTGTCGATAACAGAGGGCTATCCGGAAACGACGAAATCACTAGCCGAAAGACTCTACGTCGAGGATCTTATCACCGGAGCGAACACCGAGGAAGAGGCGGAACAGTTCTATCGACAAACATTAGATGTCATGATCTAGCCGGAATGACAATGTGGAAGTGGAACACAAATTCTACGGAGCTACAGCAGCTATTCAGCGAAGAAGGAACCGGGTGTGTTCTAGATCAAGTAGAGTGTACCACCCCTAGCGTTTCTCGAGTGTTAGGACTTGTCTGGGACAAAGACAGCGATTGCCTGGCTTTCTCCATTGGGGCCTGTTTTGGAATTCCTAGACCGGAACTGCAACACGAAACGATTCATTCTCCAGGCATCATCTCGCATTTATGACCCATTAGGAC